GTCCAACAGTGGACCAACTGGACCAGTGTGCCATGACACAGCATAACTGAGTAGAATGACATTTTATGGGAAATGTAAATTGACAAACTATTTTATTAACAACTACTTTTGGTCTGTGATAGAGCCAGATTGTGTATTTAAAATTTTGAACATCATATTACAAATTGAAATACTAGTTAATGCAATACCTCAAATATATTGTAGCTTTAGGATGTTGAAGCTACATGCAAAAACAAACATTCCTCAGGCATGGGGAGTAGGTAATGTGACAATCCTGACAAATTGACCAACTACAGTGGTCATTTGGAACAGCAGTTCATGCTGCTGTGTTTATTAAACCTCTGACATTTACTCCAAAGCAGAGGAGAATGCTGTGGGAAAAATTATCTTATTAAAGCTTGGTGAGTGTAAAATAAAGTCTTGATACCAACTCTGAAAGTTGTTACACATTTATTCCATGCAGGGAAGGGGCAGTCTTCGTACAGAGTGCTAACAGTAACAGTCTGAAGAGAGAGGCTCCCAGAGGGCTACATCTCTTCTTATACATACACATACAAATGCAGCAAACAAGTTATCTGGTTCAGCATTCACACAGGCATGTTTATCTCTACAAATGTGCTGACACAGTAAACTGTCTAGTGTCACAAGAACACAAATAACTACATAGAATAACTACATAACAACAGCCAATACACTAAAAAAGGTGTGCTGATATAAATTTCCCATTACAAGAGGAGGATGAAAGGGAATAGAGATGGGAAGGACCGATAGCATGGAAGATTGGGGGTAGCCGTGGAAACCCTTCATGCTTATGCCCATGCGTGAGCTGCCATTGGTAGAACACTTGCTGTGTTCCTGCTAAGGATTACGTCGTCTGGTGTAAGGAAGACACTTCTCATGTTCTCTCCCTCCTTTCTCTTCTCAGTTTCTCTCTTACAGTGGCTGTCTCCCACAAGCAGTGCAGAGGATTGCTTGCTCTGATGGAATCCCCCACCCCATTGCCTTTTCACAAGGAGGGCAGAGAGAAAGAGAATAAGAATGTGAGGGAGAAGAGAAGTCATATAAATACTTTTGTCTTTAGTCATGCGATTGTGTTTATCATGGAGGTTCTGTTAGTGCCACTAACACACTGGCCACATCTAGTCTTCCCTGTGTTTGCATACAGTGCAATCAGCCTGCTTGTGATCACTCTCCCCATCTCCAGTGTCACAGATACTCTATGATAATCTCAGACTCAGTTGAACCCTGTGCACTGGTGGTAAATCAGTATGTCTGTGATTTTATTTGTGTGCTTAGAGCTGTGAAAAAAACAACATACCGTTACATCCCGCTCTTTTTCATTTGCATTTATAAAAAGGTTTACGTGCCGTATTTCGGTTAGTGTTCTACAAGGCCAGAGCTGATAACAGAGTTTAAAAAGTTGACTTGAGCAGGTTGAAATGGCCACTTAGCTCATGCTCTTTAGACAGTACTGTGTAATGTCACACAACATTGTCATGGTAATAGGAGTGTTGTAGGTACAGTTCAGTGTGTGAGACTTTAATTAAAACTGCTCTGTTACCATGGCAAAGACTTTATTTAGCTAAGTATTCCAGTGTTAATCATGAAGCGCTCTGAAATGCGAGGCTCATAGAGCTGTTCACAGATAAATCAGTCATTCCCATTGATGAAGCATCTGCTCAAGAATAATTATCATGCAACCACTCTGTGGATCCTTTCCATCTATTCTAATTCTGTGATATGAGCCTGCTAATCTTTCACAATCCATCTTATTTTTGCATTAGAATCATTTTTTATCAAAGGATAATTGGAATGACACATCATACAAGACCTTACAGTAAACTTCACTTCACTTATCATTATCTACTCACCAAGAAAAGAGTTTTAAAAAAGTAGAGATATTTGTAGTACAGCAAATGAAAGGGGATCTGAGATCTTTGATGGTTCTGAATCAAGACTTTGAAACTGTCATGATAATCCTAAAAATGAACTCAGGTTGTGCCAAAAATCGCTGTCACCTTGATGTTTCCTTTGCCCATATCAGCAGCATTAAATTATAAAATGTTATTTTGTGAACATCTTTTTTTTCTCTGCATCTTTACTTTACACAGGGAATATTTGATAGTGAAAGGTCATGAAAACAACAAGAATTCTGTTAATTACACACACACGCAAAAAAAAACAACTTGTATTTTGCTTTTGGATGTGAGCTTGTAGGGTGTGTGTGTGTGTGTGTGTGTGTGTGTGTGTGTTTGGTGTATGATCAAGTATGTCTGTGGGTGTTGCTTTTGCAAATATTTGACATGTGTGTGTGCCTGAAGGTGTACACATCACAGGCAGTGAAACAGAAAGCAACAAAGCCAGCGGGAAAAAATAAATAAAGTAGGACTGAAGAAGAAAGAAAGGCAGGAAGGTGTGCAAAATCCAAGTATCTCTTTTCCATCGATTCAATGCAAAGGCAGTCACCATAGCAACACAACAGTCCCACTGTAAGTGTCTTTCACTCTCCGCCCCCTCCATCTCTGCTCACCAACTATGTATATAGGGTTCTGGTGATACTGAGCAATTATGATGTTTTCACTGATGAAGTGTTAACAGGCAGGCTTCCACAGCTTTCCATTCATTTAATTTAAATTTTAATATAGTGAGTTTCTTTTAGTTCAGAAAAGGAAGTCTTATTAAATGTTCTTTTACCTAACCTGATGAGAAAGGAGGAAAAGTTCACCAATGGTTATGAGGAAGGGTGAGTGGAGCTCAGTTGCATGTTTTTATTGGGGATAAAAAAGAGTGTGTGTAGGACTGAAAAAAGAAAGGAAGGAGATGTCAGTGAGAGAGAGAGAGAAAGTGGTGAACCTGTTAATCACATAAGCTGACAGCAGCAGGCTGAGGTGCTGTTTCCTCTTGTCTGTCACTCAAGCTAAAATCAATTGGTGTATAAAGCAATGAGGGAAACTGGACTTGGGCAGCCCGTTCTTTCCTTTGAACACACACACACACACACACACACACACACACACACACAAGGATGCACAGAAGCACCATTTCCCTCCAACTCTCTCTCCCTTCTCAGTTTCTTTTACTGTACTGACACACACACACACTTAGTGTGACACATACCATCCTCTCACATTTCACTGGACTCATAGCTAGTGAACCAAGAAAAGGGATAATAGCTGCTTCCTTGAGATGTAATTTCTCCTCAGTAAAGAGAATTTTGATGTACATTATGTGATATATGTGATTTTAAAAAAAGCTGTCAAAGTCATAATTATTTTCTTTTTTTCTTTTACTAAATTCTGATGGTGTGGGGAATGAGTTATGTGAATGCTCACAGGATGGGTGGTATGCATCTAGTGTGGTAGTTGTAGTGTAGAAAGAGGGCTTATACCCTCTTGCTCTGAGCTACTGCCGCTGTCTAGCCCTTTTTGAGTGAAAAGGAGGCCGAGTGCGTAAGTCCTCCCTGATAGTACATAGCCTCTCCACCATCAGGACCCTAGAAAAAAACTTAGAAAAAAAGAAAGGACTGAAATACCATCGAGGGGGATAAATATCTCTGGCTCAACACCAGTCAGTCAGAACTGATGAAGCCTCTTGGATGAGAGGTAAAACGTCTTCAACCTAGAAATCTAAGTCCAGTTTTTTCAGTTTACTATGACCTGGATGACTGAGAATCTGCACAGACATCAGGCCTCTTCATGGCACCACACATCAACTGGGTACCTTGCGGCCCCAGGCTAAATAGCTAGGGATCTTGGAGGAGCTTGGCCCCCAGCGGTAAGGTGTGCAGGCCCACCAGTGTGTGGACAAGCCCTGGTACCTACCAACCAAGCCCCATCTATGGGTTAAATAGACAGCAACCATGCTGTAAATGGTGAGTGATCTGTACACTCAGCAGAGGAGGGACATGGAAGTCCCCAGTGGCAAGGAGGCACAATGGCACCCAATGGTCAGCAGAATACATACCTGGTGGAACTCACAAAGGGCGGAGGACGATAGCCATCCCAACGGCCAGAGCAGTGCTGAGGGGAGTTGCATCCCCAGTACTTAACAGCATTGATAGGCTTAATGATGGCAAAACCAACAGGAGTGACTGTTGGTAAAGCCATTGTGGGCCGACTTAGATGTCGACCGGAAAGAATGAGTGAGTGAAATTCTGATGCATTCTAGACATTTTATCCCCTTCTGTTTATATGTCTGAGTGTACGATCCTGCTCACAACTAAGGTTTAACAGGTCTGACATTGCTTTTTGAACATACTGTATGTTATTATGGAAACTGTCAGGAACGATGCGTAAAGCTGCCGATTATGTTGAGGTGAACTCAATTAAAATGCCAGACAAGTAAAGGCGGACACTGTTTCTTTAATATGCACACTAGCAATGAACAACATGATAAAAAAAAGCTACTTAAACAAGAAACACACTCACAGGTCCGTAACACAGTCCAGGGTCAGAACCAGCAAAACTCACACAACCAAGGGATCCAAAACGAAATGTCAGAGAGGGAAGTCCGATAATCAAATACACAGAAAACAGTCTGAATCAGGAGAGCAAGGCAGTACTAGTCAAAAACAATCCAGGGTCAGAACAGGAAATACAGGCACAAGAAAAAACACTGGAAAGTCAGAGCTGGAGTCTAGAAGAAAAAAACAAAACCCCAAAAGACAAAACCACCGAGCCCACAAACAACAGAGTCCAAAAGCAAAGACAGGGGAAACCGGGACCAAACAGGCAAAAAAAAAAAACCCACAGTTCAAGTCCATGTGATGCCCACAAACAACAAACAGGGCACCACCACTCACAAGGCGATTCTGCAGAACAGGGTGGCAGACAGAAATTCCTAGAGGCCGCTCGGGAGGGCGGCCACAGGACCAGGCAGGAAATCGGAGAGGCTGTTCGGGAGGGCGGCCGCAGGGCCAGGCTGGGGAGCAGAGAAGCCGCTCAGGAGGACGACCTCAGCACCAGGCTGGGGAACAGAGAGGCCGTTCCGGAGAACGGGAGCTAGGAGAAGGGGGCACCTTCACTGTCAGCGAAAAACTCTGGAACTAGGAGAAGTGGGGTGGCATGGCTGGTGACTCCCTCTGGAGGAAGGACAGGGGTGGCATTGCAGCTATCGACCCACCAGGGAACAGGGGCAGCGTCGACGTCATCATTGGTGCACCCCTCAGGAAGAAGGGCAGAGGTGGTGTCGAGGCCGTCAACCCTCCAGGGATCAAGAACAGGACCAGCGTTGACGTCGTCCAACCCCTCAGGACCAGAAGTGACAGCCCCTGTTGGCGTGTCCTCGTCGGCGCACTGACGATCTGGGACCCTGGCGTGCAAACTATAGGGTTAATATAGCAAAACTATCATCAACCTACTGTATGCAGGTAGAAACTGGAAGAACACTTTCTGCCATTAATTACACTCAATGCATTTTTAGAAATGCCAGATCAAACTTTTTAAAAGATGTGAGGCAATGAATACATAAATTTCTATCATATCACATTATATTTCACACTGGTCCTACATGTAACAAGAAGACAAGACAAGCCTTTTATTTTTGCATATGTTTTCTATTCCTCTTCTGAGTAGGAAAATCATGAGTATGCTGCTTATTCTGTCAAGTACTTTTGTATGAAGTGTAATGAATTTTTTGCCTCTTTGCTCCAGCAACATGTAGGACTGTGGGAGGCATCTACATGTAATTCCAAATCAAGTATCATCAACAATCCGAGATATAATAAAATTTTAGAAAATATTTGCTTTTGGTTTGTATACAAATACTACATTCATTGCAGTATGGATACTGCCATTACAGACCAACAAGATACGCCAAAACCAAACTCAAAAAAAAAAAAACAAATAGAAAAAGACCTCTTCTACGGATTCAAGCGATCTACAGACGACAGACATTAAGGTCAGTGTTTTTGTGTCCATCAATAAAAAACGCGATTTACTGTTCACACTGCATGAGGAAATAAAAGAACTCCGGACAAGACTTGAATTCGCTTACAATTACATTGAAAAGTTAGAACAGTCAAACAACTCTCTCCAAGTATCCGTCAAAACCCTGAGCGAAAAAATGGACTTCATCATGAAATAAAACAGAATAATGAAAGAAACGATACCGGACATTCAAACCAGAAACATGTGTGATAACCTGATTTTTACCGGCATTCCAGAACAATCACCTGACAACCCCGAAACACAGATTAAGGACTTTATGAAAAATCAACTAAAAATCCCACTGGACACAGTCAACATGATCACCTTTCACCATGTACACTGCCTTGGATCATGTTCAAACAAAACACCCCGACCAATAATACCCAAACTGGAACATAATGAACGGCGCAAAATTCTCTACCCCATTATGAAACAACACAGACAAAACAATAAGTTGGACAAATTATTCATTGAAGGACAGCTTTACTAGGACTCTAATGTCACTCCATGGCTCTTCTGATCTCCCACATTACATCTATACATATCTTTCCTCCCTCCATCAGTCATTATTGCGAATTGACCTTTTTTTCATAAGCAATTCACTAACCCAACATGTAACTAAAACCATAATTCATTCAATTATAATCAGTGACCACGCTCCAATGTTGCTCAAATTAAATACTAAAATCCCTCTTAAACCCTTTAAAATATGGTACTTTAACACATCATTGCTTCAAGATGCACACTTGGACAGTTATATTAAAAAAGAGTGGACATTCTTTCTGGAGATTAACAACTCTCCAGGAACCTCACCCTCTCTACTATGGGAAACAGGAAAAGCAGTAATTAGAGGAAAAATAATATCATATTCATCATACAAGAAAAAACAGCAACAAGAATTGGAAAACAATTTGGAACTAAAAACAACTGACAGAATCATATTCAAATAACCCTACTGAACAAATAAAGAATGAATTGACCCACCTCAAAACTCAACTTGAAAGTATTATATACAAAAAATGCAATTCCTAAACCATCCATCCATTTTCCAAACCGCTTAGTCCCAAACAGGGTCACGGGGGCTGGAGCCAATCCCAGCTAGCTGCAGGCGAGAGTCGGGGTACACCCTGGACAGGTCGCCAGTCCAGTGCAGGGCTCAGTTCCTAATCCAACAATTCAAATACAAACAGTTTCAATATAGTAACAAAACAGGCAAATCAACTACAATGTAAAAAAGAAAAGGCGATCATTACATCCATACTTGACTCTGCAGGTGAAACTGTTAGAAAAACCTAGTTCTTTTGTTGGAAGTGCAAGAAATGAAGACAGAAGAGGACTGTATAAAATGAACAGAAAATTTAATCAAAGTGTGGGCATAGGTAAAACAAAGCAGCGCTGGGATCAGAGCTCCTGCAGGAAATCCATTCTCTGAACCCCAAGTTATGTTTTCTGGTTACATTTATCTTCTCAGGCGGAGACCGTCCTGTACAGAGGTATGACATTTCATGCTTTGTAATCCTATTGGCCGTTTGCGTGAGTAAGTCAACCTCTCCTTCATGTCAGTTTACAGTACCTGTGTTCGAAACCAAATGTGTGTGAGTGTTGTAATTTTCAGGTGGTAGCTAGCAATTTGACTACTGAACAATTGGTTGTCTGCGCTGCAGACCTCCTACTGTATCTGCGTAGGCCATTACAGGACAAAGCAGGACCTAGTGTGTATGCTAAACGGGCCAGGTGGTCATCTCAGGTTGTAGGCCCCCTGTCTCTGCAAGATACTACATGAACAAGCAGAACTTGGAATGTGCTATGCGGGCCTATGTGAAGATGCAAAACAGGTCAACAGGTCTGTGTTAAAATGTAAAATAGGCCATCTGGTTACCTGAAGGTACAGACTTCATGTCTTCACAAAATTACAGCATACAGTTCCAAAGTTTCAACTCAGTAGAATTTGGCAGTCATCAATACAGTTTTAATATACAGTGGGTACAGAAAGTAATCAGACCCCCTTAAATTTTTCACTCTTTGTTATATTGCAGCCATATGCTAAAATCATTTAAGTTCATTTTTTTCCTCATTAATGTACACACAGCACCCCATATTGACAGAAAAACACAGAAT